ATGTGCCTTGTTGAACTTCAATGCTAGACTACTAACATTCTTACAGAACACGATGGTGCCCGTCTAATTACAAACGACTTTTGCGAGTTCCTTGAAAGAGTGCCTAGGGACACCCTCGAAGTCTTTGGCCAGTCTTCAGATTCATCTCCTGCTTCAATTCTTCTCGACGCTGTAGGCCAACTGGAGCTTGAGTCTCCAAAAGCCGATGATTACATCCAACTAATACGACCTAATCTTACCGGGGCTGTGGACACTTGTGTCAATGCAGCTGGGCGCGAATTTGATACCCACTGGCAGAAGCGCTTGCTCAAAGCAGCTTCGTTTGGCAAATCTGTACTCGATATATATAACAGTGACGACTTTGTTGACATGTGCGAGACTCTACGCGTGCTCAACGCTGTGCGATATTATGAAGTTGGCATGCCACTGTCTTTTGAACAGTATCACCGCTTGACACCAGAGAGCCTCATTCGACGATTGCTCAATCGACACGAGTATCTTCTTGCCTTGAAGATCGCAGGCTATCTCAAGTTACCAACGGATCGAATCTACGTACACTGGGCGTCTAGCAAGGTCCGTGTAGGTGGCGAGGATGACGATACTATCTGCCGGTTGATCGTGGAGAGACTATCTGGCAAGCCTGGAATTTCCTTTGAGGAAATCGCTCGTGCAGCATATCAAGAAGGCAGGGGCCGACTTGCTACTGAACTGCTCAACCATGAGCCTCGCGGTGGTAGACAGGTTCCTCTTCTCTTGAGTATGGAGGAGGACGAGCTTGCTCTCGACAAAGCTGTTGAGAGTGGTGACACAGACTTAATACTGTCAGTTTTGTTGCAGCTCAAGAAGAAGTTGCCCCTCGCCGCTTTCTTCAGGGTCATCAACGCACGACCGACAGCAACAGCACTGGTGGAAGCTTTGGCCATGGAAGAGGGCGACAACACGCTGCTAAAGGACCTATATTATCAAGATGACCGACGAGAAGATGGTGCCAACGTTTTCATCCGCGAATCATTGAAACAACCTGATGCTCGAACAGCGTCTGACAAATTGGCACTGGCTGCAAAACTATTAGCTGACTCAAAGGAGTCGACGTTCGAGGTTCATGCGTTGAAGGAGGCTACGACACTTCTGCGCATGCAGGAAGCTTTCGACCGGGATTTGACAGACACCTTTACTGGCTTGAGCGTCAATGAAACCATGTTTAAGCTTATTCGACTGGGCTACCACGGACGGGCTAAGAAGATCCAAAGCGAGTTCAAAGTCCCCGAGAAAGTGGCGTGGTGGATTCGGTATGTGGAACTTTTGTCCAACAGGCCCTGGCTTCGGGACGACAACGTTGGACGACGGCTAACTTTTGTTCCTGCAGATTACGAGCACTAGTCGCGAAGCGAGACTGGAACGAGATCGAGGAGATCTCCAAGACAAGGAGGAGTCCCATTGGTTGGGAGGTGAGTTACAGAATGAGAACTCTATGAATCGAGATCTGAGACTGACAGTCGTAGCCCTTCTTCAACCTCACGCTCCAAGCAGGTAACCCACGATTAGCATCTGTATTTGTACCCAAATGCACATCAGTAGAAGCTGGAGAGACGATCACCATGTATGAGAAATGTGGGATGCGGGTGAAGGCCGCGCAAGAAGCCGTGAGACTCAAGGACAGTGAGTCTTGGGAGAGGCTCTTGGAGGCTGCAGGAAAGGGGTCACAAGAGGGAAGAGAGATCGAACGCCTGGGCCAATCCGTATTCAAGAAGTAGAGCCAGCTCTACTATAATTTCTTAAGAGACACATATAGCTCGTTTCACCGTACTTTCATAGCAATAATGTCCACAGACATGCAGCAGCCATGATCGATTATGACTCTCGTCAAGTTACACAATGATACGATCGGAACCGCGTTTAAGGCCAGTCAGCTATAAGCCAAGCCATCTACTGCAGTGGCTGCATAGTTGATGGGACATAAATTGATGAATGCATTTTACGACTGTGTATTGAGCCATGAGAAACAACGCCTCAATACAGCTCCGCACTTACCGACTGGAATGTGAGAGTCTGCAGTTGTTTCGGAAGATATCCTGGACATTCGCGTGATGGTTCCCAGGGTCTCGTGACGAGCCTAGTTGCAAGTCATGTTTCTGTTGGTGTCTCATGATCCGCGATAAAGTGTTTGGCACTCTGACATTAGTCGACATTAAGCGGAACTAGCGGGCATCTAGACGGGACGGAGGGTTTCGCGTGTGAGCTCAAGATAACGTTATGCTTGATCGGGATCTACCGAAACCGTTCCATGGCGAGCAAAGCAGATGATGCCTGTTGGTGGCATGACAGCCGAGGACCCTGTATCGTACTGTACGGTGCTGTAGGTCGAGAAGAGGGAGGGTAGGATGATGATATCATGGGTTACATTTTGGCTCCGATGTGGGGATGACCTCTCGGCATGTACAGAACCAACTGCAAGGTAAGGTAGGCAATAGCTGGGGAACTGTTCAGTGACACTAACTCGGAGACTTCATGTCAGTGAATTTTCATTATCGTGATACCTGAGAGAAACTTCAATCCACCGGTTTAACGTTACCCCCTTTTTCGCCCCCCGAGCATTTTTGTTTGCTTGCTTTGCATCGTAAGCTTAAGCCCTGTTCCTCTTTGGGCTATGGTCTAAGGTCTGGAAGAGTCTGGTGGTGGCGGGATCAGAAACACCAGCACCAAAAGTCCGGAGTGTAACTCAACTTGGGTTTAAGCCTCAACCGAAGGAACTTTGAGAAACGGTTGAGGGAGTCTTCTTTTTCTAGAAGCATGTGAGGCGTCTTGGTTGAGGTGGACTGTTTCTAGATGGGCAATGAGTGGGTATCAGAGATTGGGTAGCGGTTGGGAGATGTTAATTGTGGAAAATGGCCTTCTTTAAGCTGGGGATATCTTGAATGAAAGATGGAGAATGTATGTCATGATGGATCTAGACTGTGGAGCTGCTTGGGGACATGGAGGCATGAAATTCAGGGCAATCGACATTGCATCTTTTAAGGGTCTCTTACCGGCGACCTTTTCTTACCGACATTTGATGACGAAGAACATGTCGTGTAACTGAAGGATTACCACTGATAGTGTCAGCAGGGAGTCCAGAGACTGAGGTCCCAAAGTATTTGGCCACCTCCAAAAAAGGATCCGCGCTCCGTTTCCGATACTGAACCCCTGTTCTACGTATGTGCTATATTTTGCCAAGACGCCTTTTCTCGAGAGTCAGTGAAGCTGAGATGTTCTGGAGCGGCCACCCCGAATCACGTTCTGATTCTGACTGGCAGGCAGATTTGATCACTTGGCTGCGTGCGTGATGTTGCCTGCTTTTCTACTATGTAAGTTAGGGCACTGTTGATTGATATCGCCATGAACCAATTCGCTATTCGTAGATGATCCTTGTAATTGTCTGTTCTTGATGGGCCACTAATGCAATCTTTATTGAGACTAACATGAGTCCTACAGAGGGATTGCCAGCCTGGAGAGAATCAGGTTTCAATGGTTAATAGTGTTGAGTCAGCTACCAAGAATCTTCTCAATGATGAAAGATCCATGAGTTCAACCTTGCAAAATAGTAACCTTTGTTTGTAATTACGTCTGCCAAAACTGTTCGTTCCTTGGCAACCTAGAATTCATGGATCTCACTCTCTACTCGGGCGTTCTTGCTAGGGGACCCATATCCTGATCGATCCCCTCTCTTATTCTGGAGGAGGAGTGCCCCCCCCCTTCACTCGCCTCGGGGAGCAAGAAAACACAAGACCTTTATATAGGGTGCCAAAATAAACTCAGTGAAAGATATCCTAAATTTAGTGTAGATATTCTAAATTTATGTAAAGTTAACTAAGTCTTTTTGTCATTTAGGATCAAGGTCTCGAGTTTTCTTTCCTCCCCTAGACTCGCTAGAACAAATCAAGCTCGATGCCCCTGTCAGCTCAAGAACATGACACCCCCCTGTCTTGATCCCCGGTTCTTGAGGTATGGTGAAAGAAAGCACAGCAGGTTCCGTCACTGATTTAGTGGTCTTCTTTTCTTTCACCCGCTGAATGGGCTCTGTACGAAATACTGTACCGCCGCCACTGTTGTTTCTCTGATCCATCGTATCGCCAAGACCAGGCCGTAAATCAACTCACCAACCTCCCTCTTCCTTTTTCTTCCTCTGCCTCGTACTTCCTCGACTGCTTCTGGTCTTGTTTATTTGCTTTTCCGTTTGTCATCAATCAAGTCTTGCGTCGGAATCAATCCTCCCTCCTCATAGGACTACCTCCCTGCCTCTAACGGAATAACGAACCATCGACCCCAAGTCTAGAACTGATCTGCAAGGCGGAACTGAACCATACGGGACAACAGGAGAAGGCAATTCAACTTCAGCAATTCCCATCAGCGACTACAGTAGGCGAAACGATAAACCTGAGTGATATCGCCTGCTTCATATGCGCACGCCATCCATCATAAGACCCTGTTTCTCTTACCAACGCTCTCGTCATACCGAACACTCTGCAACACCAAAGCCAGCGTCTGTCTCAGTAGAGGTTTCAGTCACATCGCCGTCTGCAGCAAACACAACAAGAAACAAGACAAGACTCTCAAAGCAAGGGTTAGACTGGAAATTAAGCCTCGTCTCTTTCTGCAGTGCAATTCTCTTCACTTCTTGCCTGACCTGATAGTGTCCAAGTCCAGATTGCGCCGCATTCTACGTACTTCTTCTCCCCTTTTCGGTTGGCTCCGTCTGGCTCTGAATTAGAGTTGATCTGATCTGCTCAAATACCTACCAGCGCCTGGCCATTCATTGCATCTGCATTTGTACTTGCATTTGCTTCTGTCCCAGTTCATCCCTTTCCCGTCGTCTTGTCTTTCTTGTCACTCTGCTTGAAAGCTATACCCTTGCAGGCACCCACCTAATACAGGGCCCTGCTCCCTCTTACATACGCCCAGTTACATCTTTGTTTTCCTTTTTCTCAAATCCCCTCCTTCGGGTGCCTGATTTCCCTCCAAATATGTTTACTCAACCAGTGGTTTCCACGCCTACGGGCCCGCCACAATCGTCCTCAACATCCACCTCAAGACCGAGTCGTCTCCGAGGTTTGAGCTACTTGCGCAACTACACACAAAATCATTTATTGTCTCGCGACAACCACCATAACAGCTCCAGCACTGGATCAGCAGGCGGCACAGGCACAGGCACAGCAAGCGCACGAAGCACGTCCCCTAATCGACACGGCTCTAGCCTCACGCGATCCCTCAGCCATTCGCCTACTACAAGTGGACCATCCACTGGAACCCAGAACATCAACCACTTGACACTCGTCAGTTCGACACCCGATCCCGTGAGGAATTTGACATCGGCGACCACCACAACATCGATACCTGCGCTGCCTCCTACTTCTGTTCCTGCTTCCGCTTCCGTTTGCGCTGCTGCAGACGCTGCTACAACAAATTCTACTGAATCACCAAAAGCTTCCTCACAGCATTCTACCGACATCAACGACCCCGCTACCGCTGCAACAGAATTATCAATGGCTGTAGATACTGAGGCCGCAGCCGCAGCCACTGGCGCCGTCGACTCCAACCAGGACCAGCCTACCATGACGAGATCACGATCAGCCACCACTGGCGAAGGGGGCTCGTCGACTCCCGAAACTGTCCCATCAATTCGCTTCTCAGCCTACTACGACCCGCGCTCTACACGCCCGTCCCTGACATTCCCTCCTATTTCCAGAACTCTGCCGACGGGGTCTGAGAAGATTCGTGTTGGTCGTTACTCAGAACGCGATAGTCACTCCATGTCGAATATGCCTGGTAACCAGCCATCAGCTGCACCAGTGGGTTTTAAGAGCAAGGTCGTCAGTCGTCGCCACTGCGAGTTCTGGTACGAGGATGGAAAATGGTACATTAAGGACGTTAAAAGCTCTTCTGGTACATTCTTAAACCATATTCGCTTGAGCCCACCGTCTCAGGAAAGCAAAGCTTTCCCCGTCAACGATGGAGATATCGTTCAACTCGGAATTGACTTTAAAGGTGGAGAAGAGATGATCTTCCGCTGTGTCAAGATGCGACTAGAGTTGAACCGTGGCTGGCAGAACAAGCTTAACACATTTAAGTAAGTTTTTACCTGAGTCTTGAAGTTTTTGAATACTGACATGGTGATTAGCATGGCGGCGCACAAGAGGTTGCAGACCATGGCCTCTAGCGGAGCAGCTGGTACTAACTCTCAAGATTGCTCCATTTGCTTGAGCTCTATTGCTGTGAGCCTTACTTATAACTTTATTCTCCGCCTCATTTTACTGACGACCATATAGCCCTGCCAGTCTTTATTTGTAGCACCCTGCTCTCACACCTGGCATTTCAAGTGTGTAAGATCACTGCTCAACTCCCCGCAATACCCCATTTTCATCTGCCCCAACTGCCGAGCTGGTGCCGATTTAGAGGCCGATGTCGACGAACTGGCCGAAGAATGGCAGCAGCTTAAGAACGAAGCCGAGGCGGAAGCATCAACTCCAGCTCAAGCTGACACTGAGCCTGAGACGGATCCGGTGCCTGCTGCTGCTAACTCGGGAACTTCGACACCGGAGCGATCGCACACAGCCGACATAGACCACATGGATGTTACTGTCAACATCACACCAGAAACACCTCAGCGAAATGAAGTTAGCCATGCTATATCCGAGCCGTTGCCTATTCGAAATGCGGCCTCAGCTCCACGAAGAGTTGGCCAGCTGGGAGATAGTCGAACACCGTCACCTCCAGGCGGCACTGAAGGACCAATCACCCCACGAAATAATGTTGGACCATGGGTTTTTGATGGCAGTGCCGGCCGTACAGTGAGCGCCACAGAAGGCGAAATGACAAGTATAGATGCCGCAGCACAGCCAGATACGAGCGAACACGACATCACGGTTCGATAATGACTTCATTCGAAGCCTAGTTCAAATTACTACATATATACAGACCACTTGACCTTCAAGCGGGGCTTGGGAACGATTACATATATGGCGTTCTGTTGGTTTGTCCTGGCTTTCATGGCAGCAAAGGCGTTGGGGTTTTTTTTAAACTTAGTCATCTGTCGAAAAATACAGAATTGGTTTGCTTGGGCTGGTGCGGCACAGCGTTGTCCTGGTTCATTCGTCTAAGAGATATTTGAGCGAAATTTAGACGCAAGAGAGTGGACGTTTATAAGGGATAGGATGCGAACGGCCAAATATGGGCCTATGAGCAGGAGTTAATGGAATAGACTTGTTCTCATATCATTCCAACTGAGATGCTAAAGATGTCGTGTAGCTTCGCAAGATGGGATGCTGTTTTCATGAAGGCGTTCGTATAACGAACGCCACTGCATACGTAGGCAAATGGACCTTGATGTGCTATCTCCAGCGTCAACACTAGCCTTGGAAAATGGGAATTGTTAATTCATATCCTTTCGTTGATTTCGAAAAGCTTTCATTTGTCTTGTCTTTCTCGCATCTTAACATTATGTCATCACCGTCGTTCCCGGCACCGAGATGATCCGGGCTAATCGCCGAGTGCGGGCGGCCTGTCCGGGGTTGTGCTAAATTTCGACGGGCTTTAGTCGCAAACTCATCCGCCAGCGCCAATACTCTGCCCTTTGCACTTTGCTAGAATAGAATCGAGATTTGTCCTTCTCTTATTCTTGCTAGCAGGCGCATCACAATAATGCTTCGTCCATTTACTCAGTACCTGCCAACAAGGGCCCGGGCATCATGCTCAAGGGTCTTGGGGCAGGCTTCCAAGCTTTCGTTGGCGCGGAAGTCTATGGCTACCGTTCATGTGAAGGGAATTGAGAAGGTATTTTTCATGATGTATGTATTGAAAACACTCAGCTAATGTGTAATAGGATCCTACAGAACTTGACCGAGTCACAACACTTCCCAATGGCCTACGAGTTGCATCAGAAGCCCTCCCCGGATCCTTCGCCGGCGTAGGTGTCTATATCGAAGGCGGTTCTCGATTCGAAAATGACTCTCTCCGCGGTGTATCTCATATCATGGACCGTCTTGCTTTCAAATCGACATCGAAGCGCTCCGCAGACGATATGCTCGAGCAGGTCGAGGCCTTGGGTGGAAATATTCAGTGTGCCTCTTCAAGAGAGAGCATGATGTACCAAGCCGCTACCTTTAACAACGCTGTTCCCCCGACAATCGAACTTCTCGCCGAAACGATTCGCGACCCTCAAATTACGGAGGAGGAGGTAGCAGAGCAGATCGAGACCGCGCGGTATGAAATTCGAGAGATCTGGAGCAAGCCCGAGCTTATCTTGCCCGAGCTGGTGCACACTGCTGCATTTAAGGATAATACGCTTGGAAATCCATTACTGTGCCCGGAAGAGAGGTTAGGCGTTATTGACAGAAATACTGTTTTGGCATACCGAGACCTCTTTTACCGGCCTGAGAGAATGGTTGTAGCGTATGCTGGAGTTGAGCATGGAGAGGCTGTCCGATTAACCGAAAAGTTCTTCGGTGATATGAAGAAGGGTAGCGAACGGGTCCAAGAGATCACTGGCTCTGAGACAAGTGAGAGTGAACTATCAGATAGCGAAGCCAGCTCATCCTCAGCGTCTTCATCACCGAAGTCCTCCTCAGGCCTCCTCTCACGGTTCTTCAAGCACACCCCCTCCGCTTCTCAAAACCTTCAAAATCTCCCCTCTCAAAACGACATCACAAAGCCCTCTAAATACACTGGAGGCTTCCTCTCACTCCCCGCTCAACCAGCTAACCTGAGCGGTCTCCCTACTTTCACACATATTCACCTCGCTTTTGAGGGTCTGCCCGTGGCTTCGGATGATATCTATGCTCTTGCCACACTCCAGACGCTTCTTGGTGGCGGCGGATCTTTCTCCGCTGGTGGACCGGGCAAGGGCATGTACTCTCGTTTGTATACTAATGTGCTGAACCAGCATGGCTGGGTTGAGTCATGTATGGCATTTAACCACTCCTACACTGATTCTGGTCTCTTCGGTATCTCAGCAAGCTGTCTTCCTGGCCGTACCGCCAACATGCTCGACGTTATGTGCCAAGAGCTCCGTGCTCTGACCCTTACAACAGGTTTCTCACGCCTACAAGAGACAGAGGTTGCTCGTGCGAAGAACCAGCTGCGATCCAGTCTCCTAATGAATCTAGAGAGCCGTATGGTTGAGCTTGAAGATCTCGGCCGTTCCATCCAGGTCCATGGCCGCAAGATCCCTGTCAAGGATATGTGTCGTCGCATCGAGAACCTGACTGTTGATGACCTTCGCCGTGTGGCTAAGATGGTTGTTGGCGGCAAGGTGAAGAACCCTGGTGGTGGAAGCGGCGCCCCTACCGTGGTGCTTCAGGAAGCTCAGGCCTATGGCGTGAGCAGCCACTCAATGAGCTGGGACCAGATCCAAGATCGTATCGACAGCTGGAAGCTTGGCAGCACATAGATGCAGCGTACGATTATTCTAAAGAGGCGATGCATGAGATGCATGTCGTTGGTCACGTGCAAGAGATCCTCAAATGATGAACAGTTGTATAATAGAGAGGGTTTGTCAGGTATGTACAGGGCTTAACGGGCATCGGGATGGTTGTAGCATTATCCGGAGCATAGAGGTGATGACCTGGAAGATATGTATTATATGAGCCCACACGATTACTCTACTAGACTCAAAATTCAATGTATACCACTAGAAAAATGCAGACGAATCCGATGAATCTATAGAACTGTTATTCTAGGATTTATTATGAGAAAATATAGTGTTAGCAGATAACTCCTGACTGTATCGTCTTCCCATTCTGGGTATGTATTCGTGCCATCTTCGCAATACGCCATAATTCCTGTTATTCGCCGTCCAGAATTTCTATCAAACAAAATCACATTTTGCACAAATCTGTCAATCAAAGTTTAGATCGGACTGCCTCAAGTCGATACTTGACATCCTTAAGAGCTTTGTTGGTAGGCTTCCAGTCGTCAAATTGCCTAAGCAACTCATCTGCCTCGTTGCTCAACTCGGTTCGCACGAAGTTTTCTTCTAGTAGTCCACGCATGATCCATGGTAAGACGTACGGGTTTTGAGACGTTAGAGGCCCGCCGCGAGGTGAGATTGTGCAGGGTGGTGGTGATGGGCCAGCAGGTGCTGTCTCAAGTGCGTGTGCAATAGCAAGATCGTAAACTGCATCATCATAATAAAGGCGAGAGTGTCCAGCGCCAGAGTAAAGAGATCCGGCCAGAGGCACGGAGAGTTCGCGGATTAAGCCATGATCAGAAACGCCGAGGTTGCGAAGCTTAAGAGCAAAACCCACCAAGTGGGCGATGAAGTCAGGGGCATGGACACGCCCGTCGATGAAGACGGCCCGGTAAATGTAAGGGTGATTTGCTGGCGAATAAATAGCAGACTATTGACGTTAGCTGCCCCGGTCTGAATATGTGCGACGCTTAAGATAGACTTACCTCCATTGGCACGACTTGGTCATCGATGCTGCCAATGAATGTGATACGAGTTCCGTAGTCTACTACCCGCTTGAGAGCTTTCTCGAAACGCTTCGAATTGTCACTCTCTGGGTTACCAAATTCCCACAACTCAGCTGCCGAGCCCATCAACAGACCAGATTTGTAGTCAGGGAATGGTCCCAAAGCCACTCCAGCCATGGCACAGACACCAACTTTTGCATTTGTGATAATGCCAAGGTCAATGAGTTTCTCGAGTAGCATGATGCTCACAGGAACGCCCTGCGAGTGGCAAGCAATCAAAATGAAGTCAGCACTCCGAATGTGGTCAATCCAGTTGAGCATAAGATTCCACAAATTATCGACCCGGTCTCTGATTTTCCCTTCTCCTTCTAAGGCGACCTTTTCAATCTCGCAGTCACCACATCCATGAGACTCGGTCCATCTTCGGATCGCCTCAGCACCAAGCGCTGCGAAACGAAGAGATGTGCCTGTTGGTTGACCAATCATGGGACGTAGGTAAGTCGCAGGAAACAGGCCGTGGACGCCGATTGCAATGGCCTTTCGAATCTTGGGCGGACTGTCCACTCGGAAAACATGGTTCGGGGGAGCTTGTTGTGTACGAAGAAGGAACTGTGTCAATTGCTTTAGGATGGATGGGTTCTCTTTCATGCGGTAAGTACTGGAGAAAGATGGTAGAAGAAGATTTGTAGAAGTTTTCGATGAAGTTTCTGATTCGGCAATGGACGGGCTAGATGAAGCAGCCTTGACTGCCGCTTTGTCGATACCTTGTGTTGCGGGTGCTGTACTGGTAGGGGTTGAAGTGCCAGATACAGACGGTGATGGAGGGTCCAGATCCATCGACTGCGGTCTACCGCGCTTGTTCTTCTTCATCCACCCTGACTTCACCGTCGCCTGGGCCTCTTTCGGTTTCGCATCAGCTTTTGCGCGGTCCTTGGTTGGCGATACGTCGCATTCTGCCATAGGTCGAGGATGAGCCTCTGACCCCTCACCCATGATAGCCACTTCTCCTGACTCCGGCATAGGTGTACTATCCTTTGACTTTGGTGATTCCTTAGACCAAAACACCCAAGTCGATCCAGCCTTGGGCGGTGGCTCATGCTGATGTGGAGGCGGCGCATCCGTCATAGTGACATCCTCAGAGGGTGCATCTGTACTTGGTTGTGGTTGATTGTCCTGTTTATCTTCTGAAGTCTTGGGAGACTCAGCTGCTGTATACCAATAACTGAACCAAGAGGTTGACTGTGGAGCTTTTATGCTTTTAGGTGATGCGACTTGATCTGTAGATGCCGTTTGAGCTGGTGGAGTGACAGGCCTCGGTTCGTCCACTTCCTTGGTGGCCTCGGCTTCAGCTGTTGGTGTACCATTTAGATGGGGCGCTGGAGCAGCCTGTGTCTCTGTGAAAGGTGTTTTCGACCACCATCCAAGCCACCCTGATGATGTTGCTGGACGTTGAGGGTCCGTTTGTGACCCAGCAGCCTCAATACGAGTATCGGGTTGGCCTTGATTATCATCGGTCTTCGACTCGGGTGCCTTGGGTGGCGTCGGTTCTGCAATGACTGTATCTTTTAGTGACTCTCGAGTCTCCATGACCTTGGGCGACTCCCGGGATGGCTCGGGATCTGACTTTTTCTGAGTCTGCGATTCGGCTTGCGCGCTTTCTTCTGTCATAGTCACATCGGACTTCGTCTCGGAAACCTTGGGCATTGTCTTAATCGTTCCGGCCGTACTTCGAATACTAGCGTTGTCGTCGCCTTTCCTCGCTTCGTATCGACTTAGATCTGATGTTTTATTTAACTTGACGGACCCTCCAAAAATGTTTTCCTTTGCGACCGATGTAGATGCCGAGGCTTTGGAGGGTCGTTGCCAGGAACCGTACCAGCTCTTCGTTTTCCGAACCTAGATGTATTGTTAGATATGACGGAATGAACAAGAAAAGGTATCGTAATAGGCAAACCGACGTCTTTGCTCTTATTCTGCGCTGCGGAGCCTGGATCGCCCATGATCTGCTGCGTTGATGGTGCTTTTGCGTTGTTGTTATGATCCGCTTCTACTGCAGGTGATGCCTTTGATGCCTGTGATTGTGACGTAGGGGCCTCTGTTGTTGAGTTGCTGACCGGGGTCTGAGAGTCGTTGTTCGCGGCTGATTCGGCCGGATTGGGGCGTACCTTTTTACGTGGCAACATTATGTATCAAATATGGCGTGAGTATGCCATGGATAACTTAAATTGCGACAAGTTTTGTAGCTATATGTTTTGTTGTTGTTTTATCAGAGTGCTAATTTCCATAGTTTCGTCATGTGTTGATTCAGATGCCCGCGCCTAGACCCAACAGCTATGGCAGTTCTGGACAGCCGCTTGGCCCCCGCCAAAAAGGGTAACTGCACGGAAGTGGACCCGCCTACCTAGACAGCCCCATTATTCGTTATCGATAAGAAAAAGATTTCAGTCCATCCAGCTTCGATGGAGAAAAAGATCTTAAAGAGTGAGAAAGCACAGTTGGTGATGCGCCAACGTCTTTCACAATGAGCAACCTCAAACGAAAAGACGCCCCCGGCGGCAATCCGCCTGCCAAATCGGCAAAGAATACAAAAGAAGCCAGACCTACCAAAAAAGAAAATGTCGGCAAAGATGCGAAGCCCGCTCCCAAGAAGAGTGCTGAGACAGCCGAAAAGGCTCCCGTTGTGTCGCTCCTGAAGGAAGACGAGCCAATGTTCCCTCGAGGCGGTGCTAGCGTCCTCACTCCTCTCGAGCAGAAGAAGATTCAGCTCGAGGCCAAGGCTGATGCCATGCGCGACGAAGAATTCAACACTGGCAACAAGGTCCAAAAGAAGAAGAAGCGGAAGACTGTCCTAAAGGGTGATAAGAAGTCAGACAAGAAGACAGGAGAGGAGGAACAGGCAGTAAGAATTGAGAGCCTGAGCTTCAAGGTAATCTTTAATTATTACGTTCGTTTACGTTGCCTACTGACATTGATGTAGAATCTGGTCAAAGGCTCTCTTGTTCTTGCACAGGTCACACGGATCAATAACCTCGATCTCGAAGTCGCATTACCAAACAACCTTACCGGACACATCTCAATCGTCGCCATTTCTCAACAATTGACGGAACGTCTCGAGAACGAGACTGCAGAGAAGGAGGACGAGGAGGAGGACGAGGCAGAGGATGATGAGGGTATCGACCTCAAGTCTATCTTCTCTGTTGGTCAATACTTGAGAGTGTACGTGGCATCTACTGCCGAGGAGTCTATGGCTGGAAAGAGCAAACGACGCATTGAATTGTCCCTGCGGCCCAATGAGGCCAACGCGGGCCTGTCGAAGGATGATGTTGTTCCCAACACTACTGTCATGGCGTCTATTGTCAGTGTTGAGGATCGTGGTTTTGTGATGGACACCGGTATTGAAAATCTCGGTGCTTTCCTTGCCAAGAGTGAGGTTGATAAGAACATTGACGAGCAAAGATTGCAGCCAGGCGCTGTTTTCTTGTGTCAGGTCACTAGCAAGGGTGCCAATGGTAAGATCGCACAGCTCTCACTTCAACAGAAGAAGATTGGTAACCCCAAGAGCGTCCCCGTCGATGCCACTACCATCAATACCTTCCTCCCTGGTACCATGGCAGATGTTCTCATCTCCAACACCGATCGACGAGGTCTTTCTGGAAAGATCATGGGTCACCTAGACGTGACTGCAGATATCATCCAATCTGGGGCTGGTCCTGCTGGTGTGAGCTTGGACACAGCCTACAAGATTGGCTCAAGAGTCAAGGCCCGAGTAATTTGCAACTTCCCTGGTGCCAGAGAGCCCAAGCTTGGAATTTCCCTTCTTCCACATATTACCGCCCTCGAGAAGAAGCGACCTACCAAGTCAACTGACTCCAAGAAGAACCCAACTCAGGTTCTTCCAATCTCATCTCTTGTTGAGAAATGCACAGTCCGTCATGTTGAGCCTGATATTGGTCTGTTCGTCGATATTGGCATCCC